TTAAAATTATAAATAATGGAGATAGAGTTTTGGGAGTCGGGACTTTTTTATCGGAAATTTCCTCCTCTTTAACGAGATTTTTTCACAATTGCTTAAATATTAATATTTTTTGAGTTATTAACGAAAAACTAAATACCATTTTTTTTTTATCTCATTTCGTTAATAACAATTGCAATTTTTTACCTGCACCAAAATCCTTCAAAAACATTTTTCTAGAGGTGATTCCGAATCGAATGAGCTATCGCTCATATTTTTGGTACCTTTATCTCTATTTTTTATGTTTTTGAACTTGTTGATTAGATTAAAAGTAATATGGGAAACAGTGAAGCAATTGAACATGTTCCACACTCAGGTACTTCTGGAAAAGCAACATCTTTTTTTACAGTTGATCAGATCCACCCAAGTTCATGTCGTTCATCTGTTTCATGCTCACAAACTATAAAATTAATTAATATGATACATCATCAACTTTAGATATGTTGATTTGATTCATTCGGCTATCGAAGAGATGAGGAAAAATATTGATTTTGTTTTTGTAACAATCCAATTTTCCATGACTCTGGTGCATAAATCAGACTAAATTTGATCAATGGCATGGGTTATGTTGACTTTGAGGATCGCTGTAGTTTGTGGTCTATTCGTAGGCTGCGACTTGAGAAAACCCCACAAGAAAAAGTCTAACGGGGTCAAATCGCCCGATCTTGGTGGCCAATTCACATTTTCTCCACGTGAGATGACAATTTCTTTCAAGGACAAAACACAAGCACTAGAGGGAAATCCTATATTCTTCAGTAATTCGATTTCTTTCGAATCTTTCTGAAAAATTTTATGTTGTTGTTGTTGTTTTATGTTGTTAAATTGTTATGTTGTTGGTAGTTAGGATTGAAAATGCATTTTCTCATTATTAATTTTTCAATTCCAACCTTGAACTCTGTACAGATCAGAAGAATTATTTTCATCTTGCACGATAATCAATTTATAAAAAATGTGTTTCGTTTGAAATCGTTTCTTTGATAGATTTTTATGATTAACGGAGCTAACGAGACCAACTGTGATCCACTCATTTTCCTCTCAATCTACACCTGAAATTTCCCATAGATATACCGATGATTTGTTTTATTTTAGTGATTAAAATGTTGCTTGAATAAAGTAGCCAGTGTACGGCTGGCCTTAGAGGATATTGAAGATCGAGAGGATGAAGTACGTCTTCTAAGAAATTGATGGATTTACCGCCTTCGTTGTTTTTACCTACTTCTTCGGAAGGACTAATCTCCGTGTTTTCACCTCTCAGGCAACTTAAGGACTTAAGTAACACCATAATAATTGTGATGATGGGTAATTGTCCCATTGTGAGGCGAAGACATTGCCAATGTAATGGTAAAAATCATTCACATCAGGTAGTCAGACAGGACTGTAATATTACTGGAGTTTTTTCCCAACACCAAATCGTTATTTTTAACACCTCGACACGTGTTTCGATCACCAAGTGATCATCTTCAAGAGGAAGATAAAACTGGAACTAAAGCTATTTATGCTATACAGATATATCATTCAGGTAAACCATACAGGTATACCACCTATACAGGTATACCAACCTAAATTAATTTTACAATTAGTCTCATCTACTATTTTACAATATGTCCTTATGTAATGTTTAAATGTTATAGCTACATATAATTTTTTTTAAGTCCAAAAGACAATGTCGAGAATTCGGAAAAGTCTGGAATTTACGAAATTAAATGTAAGGACTGCGATGCAAAATATTATGGACAGACAAAAATATCTAGATATAAGGAACCCATAGCACACTTGAAATATGGAAGACCTGAAAAATCAGCAGTCGCCCATCATATTTTGCAACAAAACCATTCCATAGATTTCAGTTCGTTAAGATTAGTTAGACAAATTAACAACAACAGACACCTAGATGCCTATGAGAGTGTAGAAATAAGTAAACATAATAATATTATGAATAACGATGACAGACCAATACCAAATAGCACACTATATAGCTTGTTAAAATAATATTGTTTCAAAGGGCAGGTTGAAAAACCTACAAGACAAAGCTCTAGTATAAGTTCATTAGCACACGTACAATGACAATTACTTCACCAGGATCAGAAATTTCATTCATGTTCATCAGTTTCGGATTTCTCGGATTTTTTTTTGGGTAATATTCGGCATTGTGAATTGTATAGTCAGAATGTTTGGCAAGTATTTCGCTATCATTGGTATGATATTGACTAAAAGGAAAAACCTTGATCATTTACGACAGTTGAAATCACCTTTAAGGAAATATAGACACTGGAGTGACATACGAGTATTTGGAACATCAACAGAGTCTGTTTCTGGCACAGTTAATATTTAGCATATAAGGAATATTTTTTACATGTGCTGGATCATTCAAGTTTCATTCTCTAATGTTGGAAAAATCGGTTTGAAATTTCTACTTGGTCTATTAGCAATTGCAGTTACCGCACTATTGATGAAGAATATTATTAGTGAGTATCAGAAATAGTGGTTTTTCAAATAACCTCCGCAGGCTTATAGCCTAGAATCTGCCAGCACCCAGAGATCCGAAACGTTTGTTCGAAAGCAACTTCATACTACCTCGATCATTGTAAGGGTATCTCACTGGGTCAAGCTGGATAGCACCAGTTTCTACTGGCTGAAGTTATTAGGCAAATTTTGTTCCATATGGAACTCTCAGATGACCTCTTCGAAGGAGGGAAGTCATCTTTGCTCACGGGGGATTGTTCTCGTCAATCTCAGCCAAATCCAAGCTTTACATTCATGATTCAAACTGTACCAATGATGAGTTTTATTCACCATACGTACCCGATCCAACTCATAGGACTTTGATACCACATTATATATCAAAAGTATAATAAATATAACTGATGTAATTGACAACAAATTTTCTCATAGTTTTCCTATAACTGAAAGAATAACTGATAATAAATTGTCCAACTTTAGTCTTATCAATATGGTAGATCTAGAAAGAATTGTTGGTTCTTTGAAAAATAAAAGTAGTCCTGATNCATCAAAATCACAATAAATTAGTGAAAGAGTTCCGTCACAATTACGATTTCCCTCGAATAATTAATTACAAAACAATTCGACAATTATTCAGCTACAGGTAACAGTACTGAAATTCCATTTTGCGCTTTACGGGTTATGCAAGATCGTGGATAAATGAACTTGGACCGCAATATTTGAAGTGAGGAGTACTTTCCTTTTCGAATATCGTTGGAGTGAAAATTCAGCGCTCGGCAGACTCCACGTATGGTCCACAAATAATGCGGATCCGCGAGATTTTTACAAAACTTTCACTTCATCTGTGAAATAGTCAGTGGGTCAGAGACAAGCTACAAGAACGACAAGAGCGTATCATTTTAGACATAAGTTTCCATGTTGTATTACTTTGTATACAGTGACATCCAAATTAAGAGTCCGCATCAGTAACTTTGTTATTATTGAAGATCCCGTTAAATTGGCAAACTAATAAATCTATTCACGCTCATTAGGATACAAGAAACAAAAACATCCGGCATTGTGTTCAAAACAAATCTAACATTTTCGTAAATTTTTTGTTCAGAACTATACATTTTTAAACTCTACACCATCAATGATTTTGTATCTTTACTTGTGAATTCGGTTCTTCAGATAACGCTACAAGAAGTGGGTTCAGATCTGGCGACCTGGGTGGCCACTGAATTCATGTGTTTCTATTAAAAATGGCACAAAGGACTTGACCTCTGTACCTCTGTAGTTGTTGGTAGGTGCGCCATCTTGTTGAAAATGCAGATTTTGTCTACTCACAATGTCCAGTTCGTCCCAGAAATTAATGAGTATATCAAGTTATTTTTGATTTTCTGAGAAAAGGGAGTACGAGCATTTTTGTTTATCAGTTGATGGTTTTCCAGAAAAAATATATAATTCACAGGGGTTTCCATTTTAAAAAATGGGATTTTCCCAAACATGTTTTTTCCAGAGGCCCTCGGGACGCAAACTTTGCCATCGGTAATTAAGGCCCTCCTAATTCCCTTGATACATAAATAACTATAATAAACCGTTTGTTTCGATATTGAATATGTTTTCAGTTCTTCAAGAACTGACTCCTGGAAAAACCGAAAAAAAATAAATAAATGGAAATGAATGTTTCTGAAATAGATTTTTTTATGTTATACTAATTCATTACAGTGTCTAATTAATAAATACATTCTATAAGTGATATTTCTCATCCACATGAACATAAAGACAAAAT